CCAGGTCTGTCTGTGGTCTGACAGGCACCTGAAGTCGGTCTGAATGCGGTCTGAAAATTCGCTATATTCAGACCGTGGTCGGACCTCGCTCAGGCGCGAGGCAGGGCCGGCAAGGCCGTCTGAAACGCGTCTGAATCCGTTCGGGCCTCAAAAAATATATATCGTCACAGGCCCGGCTGCCGCCGGACTGGGGCGAACCCGTCGCCAGCAACGTCGTCTGATTCAGAGTCCGTCGCTCTATCCACTTGGCCAGAGTGAACACGCTGGGCGAAGAGGGCGAGCATGGGTCCACTAGCTCCGCTCGGCGTCAGCGCGGCACATACTAAGCGCTTTCGTTTGACTTTGCCGGCACACTTCGCGACGCCTATGCGATGCGCTGTCTGTGAGCGTGCGAAGCGTGCGTATTGTGCGGCGCATGGCATCTATTATTACTACTCAAACCCGTATACAACTCGAGTATCCGCTCGCTAGCGAAGAAACCAAGTCACGCAGGTACCCGACCGAATATTATTAAGGAATCGTCCGTAGAGCAAATGAAAACCCTAATAGTGAGTGCTATGTGCCGCACAATACGCACGCTTCGCACGCTCACAGACAGCGCATCGCATAGGCGTCGCGAAGTGTGCAGGCAAAGTCAAACGAAAGCGCTAAGTATGTGCCGCGCTGACGCCGAGCGGAGCTAGTGGACCCATGCTCGCCCTCCTCGCCCAGCGTGTTCACTCTGGCCAAGTGGATAGAGCGACGGACTCTGAATCAGACGACGTTGCTGGCGACGGGTTCGCCCCAGTCCGGCGGCAGCCGGGCCTGTGACGATATATATTTTTTGAGGCCCGAACGGATTCAGACGCGTTTCAGACGGCCTTGCCGGCCCTGCCTCGCGCCTGAGCGAGGTCCGACCACGGTCTGAATATAGCGAATTTTCAGACCGCATTCAGACCGACTTCAGGCGCCTGTCAGACCACAGACAGACCTGGATCAGACCACGTTCAAACTCTTCCGGTAAACGTCTCGAGCTCTAAACACGATCTGAACGCGGACCGATGGGCGTCTGACTGGCGTCTTACTGCGGTCTGAACAAGCTCTTAATTTTCAGGCACAGTTCGGTCCACGTTCAGCCTTACTTTCTCACACGGGTCACTGATCCCCCTAGCGCCAAATAAATTGTTTTCTGCTCTCCGCTTGGTTCTCTGTCCTTATCGAGAGTAAAAGCAAGCTGACACCTTAAAGTTACTTACATATTCTTTATGTTTAGTCAAAAGGTTATTAAGGTATCATCTGCTAAAAATATGTTGCAGAAACCTCATCCAAACTTTTCGATTTGAACAGGATCTCTACCGCACCGAGGAGGATTGGAGACTTCTGCTGGTAGGGTTAGACGCGAAGCTGAGGACAACATCCGGTCAGAGCCAGCCCCTCAGCACGCTGTATCGGCAGACCCTCACTGGTGAGTACGCTGCACTCCACTCGCTCCCTCATTCGGGGTTGAAATGGCTTTGTGTCGGCAATATATAACTGAAGAGGTGGATATTGCCGTATCAGTTTATTGCAAGGTAAAAGACAATGTTTGGTTCTCTATCAGAGATTTCAAGCCGCATGTAAGTGTCAGCTGCCACAACTAGTTTTTCTGAACTCTCCCAATTAGACCCCCGCGGAACAACCTTCCTCAAAGTTGCCGATGACCCATTGTTGACTTAAATAGACCGAAGTTCAAGGATCGTCCAGCAAGTAGAGACCTGCAACAAGCGAGCTATGCGGGTTAGACCCCTCCTTTGGCAGGTGAGAGGGGGTGGAAATGGCGTTTAGCTCGCATAGTTCGCTCGTTGCAAGTCTTTACCAGAAAGGACGTCCGTACTTCTCATATTGCCCCTAATAAACGAAGTGTGCAACTGCCTTAATAAACTAAGTGTGCAACTGCCTTAATAAACTAAGTGTGCAACTGCCTTAATAAACTAAGTGTGCAACTGCCTAACACTTGCAAGTGTGCAACTGAAAATTAAATACTTGTAAGTGTTCAACTAGGTAGGTGTGTACTTGCAAGCGTGCAACTCTTCGGTTGATCTGTTGAACACTTCCTACACGGTGAGTGTTCAACATAAGGAAATGATCAACCGAGAAGTTGCACACTTGCAAGTGCCGACTTGCAATTGTACAACTACGGGGTTGCACACTTGCAAGTTTTTCACAATACAAGTGTAGAGCAGTTTCACTCTTTAGTTTATCAGTGCAATAATCGGCAAGTAAGTTATCGGAGCTCAGCGCCTGCGAGACTCGGGGTAGGCCAACCCGCAGTACACACATGTATTGAAGGCAAGATATTGCATATCTATCAGGCGCCATGAGAGCTTGCATAGGGGGAACGACGGACGTACTTCCTGGATGATCCGCTGTTGCATAAAAAATTTGCTCCCACTGTGAAAAATACTCGTACGGGTTACGGGAAAATTTTCATTGATAAAAGTCGAAAAATTACAATTTGAAATTGTAAATTCATAAGCACTCCCTATCGACTTGGAATTGACCGACGAGCAAGAATGGGCTTTCGTAAATTTACGACATATTTTGCAAATTAAAATTACAACAAATTTCGTAAATTTACGATGATATTTTTCACAGTGCCCAGGATAGCGATGTTATTTCGTTCATTAGACTTGTTTTCCCTAGAATGAAATATTTCAGATAACACTGCACTGTGCTGTGCAGCGCCAGCTAAGCACAGCGTTCCAAAAACAGGCCAGTCAGTAATTGGGACGGCATGCCGCGCGCTGCGTCTGCACGTGTAGGCGGCTTGAGCCGAGCTGCTTGCGGCCTGTACCCCGGCCGCTTCACGGCAAGAACAAATTTTGAGGAACTCCCATAAAGCTAAGAAGAGTGGGAGCAGGCTCGATTTCGAGGACGTATCCTTAAGACAAATTGGGAATTTCTCTCATTCTTAGTTTGATGAAGTAAAGAGTTTTCCTGTGGGCGTTCCTCCCTCAATGTTTGTGCCTGCTTTGGGAAGTGTACAGTCGAATACTTGATTACCCACAAGTGTTCGACAACTGGATAGTTGAACGGTGTTGAGGTAGTTGAGTCAGTGTATGTGCCGTTCAGTGTCGACACACGGATACGACACTCTGGATAGTTTGGGAGGGCCGTCCCTTCCCGCTTTATAAACGGTTGTACAGTTTAAATGTGGTGGAATGAAAAAATTGCCATGCATGAATCTTAAATTTACATCCACAGTTAATCGAGTTTTCTTTCTAAAATACCTTAATATTTTATTAATAAAAATGGTCCTGGTATAACCGGTACCCGACACCTATAAGTATACCCTACTTACAGCCGTGTTGGACCACCTGGCACACTCGGTGAACGTGGAGACGCTGTGTCGCTTGCTACAACTCGACGCACAGCTCGACGCGACCCTGGACGGGCACTTGCCGCATCTGCACACCTGTCAGCGTGTGGCGGGTGCTAACGCGGTGCGCGACTACATCGCGTCCACCAGCACCGCCTTTCTGTCACAGCTCGACCACTAGTGCTTATTCGGTACTTTTTAGGATCTGTGAGAAGTGTGCGTCGTTTGTGTTCGTCAGTGTTGAGGGCTACGCGGAGCAACTGTTTTACTTTTTAATTGTAAAGTTTGTCACGCTGTTGCTGTCCCCTAGCTTTCGAAAGAACTGGTCTTACTGACAAAGCTTTTGGCTGTGTTTATTCTGGAGGTAAAAGAGATCTGGTACCCTGTTTTATACGATCTCAGCCTTGGTTTTAATTTGTATGGTTTTCTAAGCTGAGCGCGGCCAGCTTTCGAGGGGATAGATGAAGTCAGAACTCAGACCAAATCGTATTCTGACTTCCTCCATTTGTTAATTGCTGGATATACAGTAGTTTTTTCAAGTTATTTTTAAGTTTGAATCGTAAGTCACAAGCAAGGCACACAAGTGACCTTGTGTTTCATCCTTAGTTTTCAAGCTCAAAAATATTTTTGGATGCACTGCTTTCGGGAGCAATATTTCTCATCATGCTATCAAGTGATTAAGATAAGTTCAACTCACTTCTGCTTTTCACTGCCAGAAGTACTTCGTCTGTGATTTATGCTAATTTCAGTGGTATGAAACCTTACTCTGCGGTATTCTGCCAATTTTAAAAAGTTGGGTTTAGAGTGATTTTGTTGATTTTTTTTCTCGTGGTAAAAGTAGATTATTGTTGTGCAAGTAAAAACGCGCTTATTGCATTGTCAGTTTTAAAATTTCTATCACTTTTTACTGTTTTCTACTTATTCGTCGCCGTCCAAAAAATGTTGCTTGTAAACTCGTAATCCTTTCGCTAAATTGCGGTACTGTTCGTGTCATGTCTTTTGTATTGTGCTATTTGTTGCCGTCTATGGTGTTAAATTCCGATGTAACTCACTATGAATGGTATTGAACCTTTTTGGCAATAAATACTGCACGTTATTGCGAGTCTTAACACGACTGTTTATTTTCTTACATTTACATTTACTCTACATGAGTGTCCTTTTATCTGTAACAAACATCGAAGGCAAATGAAATTATTAAGCCCTGATGTACTTTGGCTTTTATTACTCTAGTTTGATATATATATATTATATGTCGTTCTACCCATTCTTTTAAAATCAGAGTCTATCTAAGTTTGAAAGACAAAACTATATCAGAAAGATTAAAATAATTCAATATTTTATTCGTCAACTCCCTCCGTCGTGGCGACAATGCCGCTGATGTATAAGCCTATTCAAAAGACTTTAAACAGGCTTGTGCAAATTTCTCTTTCTCCTTTACAGGACGATTGCATTTGACTCCATACAAAGTTTGAGCACCTTTACCCCATAACAGTACATCAATATTTACAAATAGAAGCCAAGAAGCAATTCAGGGATGCGTTATATTATATGGGAAGTGTCTGCATGTTCATCTCAACCTGAAAAGAACATATTCTCAGAACGCACTTCCGACAAGTACGGAAATGCCAAAGAAAAAATATTCGGCCGGCACTTGAATAGGCCTAAACACACTTTTTCGACATTCTGTATTATTGTATTGTGAATTCCGCCTACGTACAGCATAGATAAATTATAACCATTAAATGATTGGTAGCCACACCCGCCACATTCTTTGCGCGGTTTGAGTGCGGATATATTAAGCGTTCGAAATTTAAAATAACATTCATAAACTACATTTATATCAAAAGATGAAAAGTGGTGTCGCTACGTGCTGCGCCAAGATTCGGTTCGGGTACTCCAATGAATATTCGCTTACTCTTCCTGGGCGTGAGCTTCCCGGCACTTCTCTTGCATTTTCTTATTAAGCACAACTTTATTGTCGGGGGTTCAGAAAACGGACTTCCCCAGGTCTGGTGCTGTGCTGAGCGGTGCCAGCCTATTCTTAGGGAAGTGCTACAGATACCTTGATTCTGCTCGGGCTCTCTACCAACTTTTGAAACATAGATAATAGAACTTATAAAACGAAGATTTCTTTTCAAGATAATTGTTTACCGACTACCAGTACCAAAGTTAGAGAAGAAGGTCGCATAAAATTGTTGTTTATTGTTTGTTTTAAGGAGGGTGTTAGAAGACCAGATTGAGGAAAAGCTGCAAAATTTTTAAAATTCACGACAAAGCGTTGTTTTGACGAGAAAAAAAAATAAAAGGAGAAGGAATATTTCCTGAGTGCAGTGGGTGTCGTCGCCGCTTCATCCCAGTCCCAGGTGTGAGTATCGGTCACGTCGGGTCTTACGCTGGCTTCTGAACCTCAGCAGGTGCCGGTGGCGGAGGTGCTGCGTACGTGATGGCGGGGGCAGCCGGCGGTGGTGTCTCCGGCATGAATTTTGCTGGGGACACACCATACCAGTTAGAGGGGCCATCAGCTGCAAACTGTGTTTGGAAGACACCTTGGCGTAGGGTCATCAGGGTTTCTTAACACGGAAAATCAAGAATACACAACGGGCTACACTCTCAGGCCTGTACTGATTCTTTTTTCTAATTAAATAAGTACGTTATGCAACAGGAGTGCTTTGTCTTATCATGTTCTGTTTTGCAAGTAACGTACAAATAAATAGGAAATTCTCAATATCGTAAAACGGAATCCATGCGCATTACTAACGAAAGAAATTTGAGTACCACATCATGTTTTTTCATAAACAGCAGGATACTGACAAAAAAGAACAAAAAGGCAGCAGCTGGGCTGAAAGTGTATGACCTACCACTCAAGAATAGAAATGTACTTGACGGGTGTTTACGGCTCGTAACAATCCTTAATATTCACGTTAGCTTTGGGATAACGTTTGAAACCGATATCAATATTTTGCAAATGCAAAAGTAACAATTTAAAAAATATATAAAATCACTTTGCTGTAGAAGTTTTAATGTACAAATGGCTGGACTGTTAGCACTCACCCGTCAGATACAATGATATATCAGTATTTTATGAAAGGACAAAAGAAAATGTTTTGTCAATATGTCAATGTTAATGTTATCCTGAAACCTTACAGAGCGGGGGAAAGTGTATGTTAAGGACAGACACAGACAGAAAGAACAGAGAGACAGACACGAAAAGCATAAGTATTTTGTGTGTACGCCCTTCCTGGCGTTCACCACGGCACCGTGTAGGTGTTTGTCTGGAGAGAAAAAAACAGTAAGAACAAAACAATGTGATTGGCAGCAAATAAATAAAAATTAAGTTTATGTTGCAACCGTGGTCTAGACTGGTTCATGTTGTGCTGAAAGTTTTTCTTTGAGTAACAGGGATTGACAGTGTCACCATTAAAATATGCGTATGACAATTAGAGAATAAATTCGTGCGCTGTGGTATGAGGTGCATGAGCAGTACTTACCAGCTACCCAGGATGATACCTTCACCTTCGTGCCTGTCGGCTCCGAATTCTCTTCGCAGAAACAAACACACAGCATTGACAAAACAATAATATATTTTATATGCATTTCATAATTTGATACATAACATTCTCTGAGTTTGACCGAACTTAAGAATGACGACAGTGTACTCAGTGGCGAGCAAACAAGCATTAAAAAGATACGCTAAGACATCATTCATAGAGTACTAAAGTTTACCAAAATTTCCAGTGATTATCGACATGTTACCCAATTAATGCTTGGGTAAAAAGATCAAAAATCCCGTAATATTAAGAACTATCCATTTTCTAACAACAGCACCAGGCATTCTCTTTAGAAAAAAAATATCAAATACAGAAACAAGTGTTTGTTAAGAGCGTTGAGTAGCGTCCCTAGATATGACTTGATAGCAATATTATAATATGTGATCGGAACTCACTTATTAGCTATGATACACATCATTTAAATTGGTGTTTTACAATATGATTTTCGGTCTTTAAATTAATCGATTCTGTACATAATAAGAATAGTGCATTCCTATTTTTCACTTCAAATCAGATTACACATATTTAAATACGTCTAGCTAATATTTTCATACATCTACCTTTACTGCCTTTTCTCACATAAATTTACAATAAGGAGTCATAGTACGATATGATTACCAAGCTATACAATTTCATATTTGCAACGATTATTGAGTCCTTTCAGGGGGAAAGGGATAAAGACTCTAATAGAGAATTAGGATGATAGGAAACAACAAAAGTTGTCATCAAGAAAATGTATGTACATCCTAATGATAGAGTACGGAGAAATGGAACCTAAATTGAACCTACGTGTTTTTGCGCGGCCCAGCCGGGCGACGCAGGGCGAGGCGGGGAGGGGGAGGAGCGGGGTTTGATCCAGTGCATCAAGCGGCAAGCTCCGTCAGAGACGCAAAAATGTCCAACCACATCAAAGAGAATACATTCTTGTTCCTAGCAACTAATCAAAAGTGAAGACATTCTCAACAAAAACTGACAACTCCTCTATTGCCTTCTCGAAATAACAAAATCCATGTCCGTCTCTTTTTTTGTAAGGGCTTTTGTCATATTTTGAAATAAATAGAGAAAAATTCCGATGTGCATCCGCTTCGTAGCGCCTGCCTGGCGGAAGAAAGCTATGAAGCTGAGACCGAATTTGACCACGAGGCGCAGCGAGGCGCAGCGTAGTTACGGTAAGGTCCGGAGCAAGGCGTGTTCAGATGCTCTCCTTGCCTTAGCCAGCCGCCCAGACTGTAAACAGACAAAAACCGTTGTACTCATACTTACGGATGCGCTCCACTCTGGGGATTGACGAGACTGGACGTCATATGAGAGACACGAACGTGACGTGAAATCTAAGTTGATATCGCAATGAAACGACAAAGTTAGAAAACTACTCTCTTTTTTTATTTTGCAATTGCCAAGCGAAATCATGCGACGGCGAAATGCAATTTACGGTTGAGACTAAAATATTATTTTACACTGGAAATGCAAGTGTGTGAATGTCGCTCACCTGCAGGTGAGCGACATTCCATTCGTACACTTCGGGGGGTTAACGTGTGAAAAATTCACACCTTTACCCCCCTAAGTGTACGAGTGGAATGTCGCTCACCTGCAGGTGAGCGACATTCACACACTTGCATTTCCAGTGTATTCGCGATAAAGTAGCAAAATTTGAATGTCGCATGTCCGCCCAGCAGCTTTTTACGGTCCTTCAGATAATGTTCTTTTAAAAGTAGTCGATTGGGATAATTGGACTTATGTTACGGTTCTAAGCCAATACTCGGCTAATTCTGCAGCTAAAGAGCTAAATCGGTCTTTAGAAGATTTTCTAAATACACTGCCGTGCTAACAGGGTAATCTGCCCCGCCTCTTTTTTTCTGGTGATACTGTTTAGTACCGCCCGCGATGGACCTCTTGCGCGACGCAACTCGTCCGCCCCGCTTGCGCCATTCATTTGTGCACATCGCATGCACGTGTGGCGGCCGATAAGAACAAGTGCACGGCGCGCACAGCCTCGGCGGCCCTCGGTGGCATCAAACCTGTGCACAAGTTCGCTGTGCACTGCACAGAAAGGCTGCGCTGCCCACGCGATGTGCACAGGAAGCGCACGCGG